ACATGTAGATTACATTAGTTACCTCTCCAAGACTTGAGTCAAGGGGAAGTTTGTTAGGTTAACTCTATCTTGGATTAACTACAGTTAGTGGTAACCATGGTTAGGAAGTTAACTGTGGTTATGTTAGCTTAGGTTAGGTTAAGTATTAGGTGAACCACATAATCTCGGTGTTGTGACTGTCGTGCGTGCTGGTCTATCTGGATGAAGGGTCTTTCACTTTTTTGATAATGGGAAGCTGATTGAATCTAAACTCATAGTTTCATTTTTGACGCCAAAAACACTCTCAGACTTATAAAACCCATTGACACGGACTTTGACTTCACTTGAGTTTTTGGTTGGAATAGTTACCCCACTGGAGCCATAGATCGGTTTTGTAGTGACAATAGCATGATTCCGGAAGGCTACTCAGATTACAATAGCTCCCAATTCTTGGCAAAGGTTCAACATAAACTAATAACACGTACTTGGTTGACTTGGCTAATTATCCCTTATTCCAGTATAGTAGGTTGAGGTATAATTAGCCTAAAATGAAGTATAACTAGTCGCTACCTTTTTTCATTTATGCTTTACAATGCATTATGCATTTTAACATGAAATTGCAATGACTGTCATGATATTTTGACAAAATTATTCTATATAATATTCAATCTTGTAAAATTTATATATACTGTTTGTGAAAAGTCAAACTTAAGATTATTTTAGCCTTGTTTTCTTTTAAACATATCATTTGGATTCATTAATCAACTTAAATTTTTAATTTAATAGCATGATTAAGGCATGATATTCGTGAAACAACATACGCAAGTTGTTTCCTGCAGTTCAAGTACACAATTGTCATGTTAAAACGTTGAAGTTTACTATTACTTTGCTAAATGTTATGGATTTGAATTTAACAATCGTTGCATCTTTTCACACTTGAATTTAATTTAATCACTTATGTTATACTAAAATATTTAATAAAATATTTATTGTTAGAAAATTCTTCTAATAATCTTCAAATAATAACTTCATTAATTATTCATCTTATTTTATTCATGATTGACGGATTCAAAGTTGTACGGTTGACTGTTTATTAAATCCAACTTGAAAATTTTATATTAGAGCTAAATATAAATTTCTGACTAGATTTTAAAATCTAAGTCAAGTTAAATTTTTTGACTTCATTAGAATTTCAAATCCACTCTTCAATCTTATTGATGGAGATTTTAAACCAAAGTAGCTTCTTTGACAATTTCTTTGACAGTTTATTGACTTTTGATAATTTGTGCTGAGCATTTGGAAAAAAGCTTGTAACAAGTTCAAAAACTTGACAAAATGAACTAGCCACGAGCTTTAAAATCAAGAATTTTGAACAAGTCTAGATCATTTTATAGATTGTCTATGTTTAGGAGTGAAATTAACACCTCATTGCTTGGTTTGATTGACTTTATAAATGTTGTGAGGTTTTGAAAGTACTAGAATTTATCAGTAAATAGCTTACAATTTAAAGTTTTTGTAGATTAGAAATTAGTGTTAACTGATATAGTAATATTTATGTGATGTTGGTTTTAAATTGATATTTATAGTAAAATCTACAAAATTGCATGGGATATTATCAACTCAATATAATAGTTTAAATGTTTGCTACAAATGTGTTACCTAAATTAATCTTTTCAGAGATCAAGTTTGCATGATATATCTTTTTAGAGTTATATCAAGTTTGCATGATCTATATTTTTAGAGTTATATCATATACAAGGATATGCATAACATTTACGCTTTACTTGATGGTCGCAAAAATTCTATGAAAGATTGGGTTAGTATGATGAGTGAAGTATTATTAAGATTAGAATAAAATGAAGATTAATGATTAGAGTGCAACTACTCACTCATGAAATTTTAAAAGTTGATGTATATGTAGTTCCAACGCAACAAAAATTACACGTCAATATATACGTGATTCACCTCTCTACATGAGATTACATTCACGGCCGAGATAAAAACTTCAATAAAGTGAGAACATTACATCAGGTCTTCATAGCCAAGCTTTACACTATCTCTCTCTATTAATTGTAAATTTTGAATTCAACTTAAAAGTGCTCATCCGTACGAATTAATACCCGAATTATGAGTCTACAGTGAACTATAACTCTAATTAACCCAAACAAACCCAAACTTTATCTAGAGTACAAGGTTAATAGGACATGGGTTAATCTTATAGGACAGCAAGATGTTTGGACGTTCTTAAAATTGAAAAATTAAGTAAGTTACCAATCAAAGGTTAACCCAAATCCGAGTTAAACCCCAACAATTTAGAGTGTTATTTCAAGTCTTATGTGAGTAAACTCCCCACTTTTGGTCTATATGGGTATTTCTTTGAGGTATTATCTCAATTTAGTGTTTTGTTCCATAATAGAGTTGCGGTTCACGCAACTCTATTACTCTATTATTATTCAACAAAAATTTATTGAATTGATTTATTATATAGATATTTAACGAGCTTAAGGAATAATATCTCACTTTCACCATCTATTTTACTCTTAGTAGATTCACATGGCGATACATCTAACAAGTTCATGATAAATCATAAAACGATAGATTTGTCCTCTAACTCTATCGTTTTATGTTGTTTAGTGAATCATCTTTAGTTAATTTTTATTTGAAACAAGCTATTGTTTTTTAACCTAGAGATTTTAAATCTATTTTCAAGTTTATAGTTGCTTAGTACTCCTATGAAAGTTATCTTACATATCATTCAATTCATTTCTATCATCAAATCAATTTTTTGCCTGAAAAGTTTTTCAAACACTTTTTGGGAAACTTAACCATGCATTTTCACATAATATTTTTACCAAAATCATCAAATTGTAAGTCATAATTGACAATGTCAACCTTAACGACTCCAATCTTTATGGATCTCATGAATTTTATGATTCTGTATCATTCTTGCTACTTATTTAAATCTCATATCCAAATTTGAATGAAAAATCTTGCAATAAAAAGATGGTTTAAAAAGATGGTTTTGTTTGTGTTCTGAATTTAAACTCGAAGATTCAAGAATAGATGTCAGTCAATTTGAAGCATCAAAAGGCCTAAAATGTGCTTGTTTGAATTTAAACAGTGTGCGGAAGTGTTGCAACTCACTAACCTCAGGAGTAGCACAACGGTTAGTCGCTCCGCCCAGCATTTCTTTGGACAATCTATGGCAACTAAAATATGTGGGTCCACCTATATCGGCTCTGTTCAACTGTAAAAGCAATCCCTGGCAGCTTCGGGAATGTCCTCACCCCGAATTTGTCACCAGAGACAACTCTTGCAATCACACACAAGATGTATCTTAAAACCAAGTAGAAACAAGTGCGGCCTCGTGTAAGCTGTTTGAAGGTCAAAGATAATCACCAGAGACGGATTCAAAATCGACAAGGAAGGATCTTCAATCAAAAGAAAACTTCGTCAATTTGATTGTTCTTCGTGCCAAATATAATATTTTCAACCAAAAAAGTTTATACATCGTTTTTAATGTAGAAGCACAATCACGTGATTCTCGCTGTAGGATGACAACTTCTCAATAGAGACTGGCCTTTCAAACGGAACAAGGAGAAGTACCCTGTGGGGTCCTTGTCCACAACATCTCGTACTGACATTTTTTCCTGGGAAAGTTATTTACTTTTAATTCTATATGATATCAAATAAAATAATGATTATATATACGATAAAAAAAAACCTGATATAATGAACTAAGTAATCTCCTGAAATATAAAAGATATGATTAGTATCAACATTTACCCATCCATATTTTCCGTCTTCTAATTATACAGTATAAGGAATTAGTTGATACACACTTAAAGGTAAAAAAAATTCTAAATCCCAATCATATTAATTTTACATCTTGGTTGACGCACAAAGTTTGATGAAGATATAATAAATCAATTTAAAATTTAATATGTTGGATATAAAATTATTATATATTAAATGAAAAAAACATATGACTTTCATCATAATTACAACTTTAAAATCAATCAGAGATGAGAGAAATGTTAGAAATAACAAACTCAATGAAACATCTTGTTCAAAAATCCACAATGTCTAAATATCTAAAATTGAAACAGAAGTATACAGTGTGATAAATACAACTATTTTTTCTCCAAATTATTGTAATACATCGTGGGAAAAACTCATCCGAGATTAACATCATATGATCACCTCTGCTGGTCACACCCGGAATGTAAAGGGAATCTACATGAGCAGACACATATCGAAACCGGGACAGTGGGCTTCAAATGTGAAAGATTCTCACATATTTATCTGAAGCTCAATTATAGTCCACGGCCACGCAGAAGCCATAGTCTTTAGTACGCGAGCAGGCAAACTCGACTTCAATTAGGCGACAAACAACACCAAGCGAAACGTACCGAGAAACACCATTCTGACAAGCATCGCTCAACTCATACGCAGTTGGACACTTCAACTCAAAATAAAACCATCCTTTGTCATGATGATGATGATGATCATATAAAGTATATACCCCCTTGTGCAATCACTGTGCTAAAAAATTTGCTCAACAACGGGAAAAGACAGCCACTCTCACGTCAGAGCGTCAATTTTTACCACGTGCTTCGTGTCTTTGTGGACGAGGTGTTGGAAAACGCCAAGTTTGTACTGGCGACTACACACTGAGGACCAACTGGGGAACGCTGAAATAGAAGAGAGAAAAGTTAAATCTGGACAAATTTAGAAACTGCGACTCAAATCTCGACTGTCCACCTGTCCACACGCTATTGACCATGTGAGTTGGTCAAGCGCAGTCGATTAGAATGCATCACATGATGGGGAAATAGGTGGGACAAACGGAGGGGAGTAAAACTGCTAGGACCTTGGTTTTGATGAATCCCATGATAGTACGATCGCACTCGAGTACTATTGGTGCTTTTGATCTTGTTCCTTTCGCTCTTCTCATCCTTCCCCCGCCACATCAGCTGCAGCTCCACCTTTATATACTTTGGTTCTGCACACACAGACTCAACACTACATCGTTCCAACTGTTGCTGCACAGAAGTCAGTTTGCGAAGTGTTCTTACGACTATCAGGATGGCCACAGCAACAGCTTGCGCATCTACCTTCTTGGCTGGACAGGCTCTCGGAGCCTCCAGCAATGAGCTCGCCAAGAAAGTCAACGTCGGTGAAGCCCGCGTTGTTATGCGCAAAGGATCTGCTCCATCCAGCATCTGGTGGCTACTCAACCCTCGACAAATTTATTTGCCTTGGCTGTGATCTCCTTTTCAAGTTTACAGTTAGTGAAGATGTATATAAAATATTCGAAGTAAACCGCTTTGTCATACAATGTCCTTTGTCCAGAAAATCTTCTGCAGCTTAATGATGATTGCTACCGTGACTGTTGAAATATTCAAAGGAATGCGCATCGTCCCTAGCTCAATCACCCTCATCATTTGTTATCTGATGGTCATCGTCTCGACACTTCGAAATCAGTCTAATTCTGCGTGATTCCTTCTTGAAGGTATGGTGAGGACCGACCCAAGTACTTGGGCCCATTCTCCGGTGCCACCCCAAGCTACTTGACCGGTGAATTCCCCGGTGACTACGGTTGGGACACCGCCGGACTCTCTGCCGATCCCGAGACCTTCGCCAAGAACCGTGAATTGGAGGTGATCCACGCTCGATGGGCCATGTTGGGAGCTTTGGGATGTGTGACCCCCGAGCTGCTGGCCAAGAACGGCGTCAAGTTCGGCGAGGCGGTGTGGTTCAAGGCCGGATCGCAGATCTTCTCCGAGGGAGGCCTGGACTACCTCGGCAATTCTGGCCTTGTCCACGCCCAGAGCATTCTGGCCATCTGGGCCTGCCAGGTCGTGCTCATGGGAGCCATCGAGGGATACAGAGTAGCAGGAGGACCCCTGGGAGAGGTGAGCGACCCGATCTACCCCGGAGGTCAATTCGACCCCCTGAACTTGGCTGAGGACCCAGACACCTTCGCCGAGCTGAAGGTGAAGGAGCTGAAGAACGGAAGGCTGGCGATGTTCTCCATGTTCGGATTCTTCGTCCAGGCTATTGTCACCGGCAAGGGCCCGATCGAGAACTTGTCCGATCACTTGGCTGACCCAACCGTGAACAATGCTTGGGCGTACGCCACGAACTTCACTCCCGGAAACTAGAGTGTTTGTTATTATGAAGCAAGGGGTTAGTGAAGCTTGTCACCTTCCCGTTGGAGGAGTGCTTCTGCTGTGTACAGGTTGTCTCACTTGTGAGCTACCTCGTGCGAGCAATTGTATCATAGTTTCAGGTTCCGGATATTCGCTCATGGCTCGAGAAGCTTGTATATTACATGTCTGAAGTCGATGTAATGAATAAAAATGTTACATTCAAACTCAGATTATCTGACTGTTCCAAAAATCTGGAAATGCTCATCAGAAACACTTTGTCGAAGTATACTCGAACATCTACTTCATGCGTCGTCCTTGAAACGGAACGAAAGTAGAAGGTGTGCAGACCGAAGCACAGAACTGCTACTTGAACAGAAAAATCAATGATCGGTTGACATGCACTTAACAAATCCTTAGACATCATTCTTCTCTGCAGCAATGCGAGTAAAATGAAGAATCGTTCACTAGTAGTGTACCATTCGCGATGTAACCAATGTAGTTCGTAGTCTGCAAAATTAACTAGATGTTGAAAGAAAAAAATTTCTCAGACAAAAACTGGTTTCCAAAAATCAAATGAAATGTGCAACATCAAATTTAATCCACCGCCTGTAACGTTGTGTAGAACAATTTCTGTTCTGACATTATACCACCGATGGTACAATGTGAGGACGATTATGAAAAAATTCCATAATGGGAACGATTTCAGAGGAGAAAGAAGTGAAGTGAACATATGGATTGAAACAAATTTGTCCTTCACTCGAACGGAGGAAATTGTCAGACTACTGTGTAAGAAAAAAGATTCCTTGGGAGGCATTGGGAAATTAGTAGCGTTCAGTTTTACAGCGGAGTTACGGCTTCAACACTGGTCGTCTGAGAAGGTAAGTTCTCGACCACGCATCGGGCAATACAATACAGTCAACGCTGTCAAAATTCTCTTCCACGGAACTTGACAATTTGAACTGTTCTTCTCCGTCCCCAAGAAAGACAACGATCGGACAATTTTCCGAATAAAACATCGGTGCCAAAGTTAATGCACTATCCGCATCATGTTCAACAATGCAACACAAATTGGACAGAAAGGACAGAGCAACCTCGTTTATCTTTCCTGTGGGTTTGAGCTTTATACTCGTGAAATTCTGGTGAAGAGGTGAAAATGGTTACCAAATTGCCTCCCGTGAGATTTACTAGACTAGTTACGCTACATTTTTAAGTGTGAAAAGCGGCCAAGTATGACCACTGGAACCAGCCTGACATGGAAGTAAAGTTCTTCTTGTCAAACGTGCAGGGTATGGAACACTTCTGCTACCGTACACTGTTTATTTGTCATCGTTTTCTTCCTTGCTGAGTGGAGAGTTAACTTGTGGCAGAGGGGGTAACCCATCCACCACAACTACAGAGCGTAGTGTCAGGCAAGTGGCTGTCTTCTTATTACTTTTTCGTTTTTTCCTTGGTAACGGAGGAATTCATAAGTGATTCATATGGTTGTAGAGAAGGCAAATTGACTGAAAGTGTTCCAGTCATCTTCTGCGACCATCAAAACACCACTACTGCAACCAGAGGATATTCGCGACCCAAATTCCATACATTGATTCGAAGAAATTATTAGATCAGATCAGAAGCGCAAAACACGACAAGAGAGAATCTAAACTAAGAAACGACTCGAACACCACTGGATGACTGGATTTCCTCACCTGTAGACTTCTGAACTTGACTTCTTCCTATTGTTGCAGACATTTCGTCACCTCCTAGTTACCCAGTAGTTGCAACTATTCGTCTTAAATCGGTTCGTGAATTTTAGATTAATCCGAAGACATTCCTAATTTGTCTATTGGTGCTTGCGATATCTTGGGGTTACCCGTGCCTCTTCTCTGCTGCCACGTGAGACTCGTAAATCCACCTTACCGCAGCCTCTACTTTGACACTCCCGCCAGGTCCCAATCCCAGTTGCTTCATAAGCTCGAACCTGTCTCCAACATCGGCAGCTCGATCTTTGAGAACATCAAAGCCTCCAGATCTTCAGACATCAAGGAAACCTCCTTCAATCTTGTGTCGAGATGGCGACCGTGACTGCCTGCGCATCGAGCTCCATCGCGGGCCAAGCGCTCGGAGCTTCCAGCAATGAATTGGCGAAGAAGGTGAACGTCGGAGAGGCGCGCGTCACCATGCGCAAGGGCAGTGCGCCCTCCAGCATCTGGTGAGAGAATCTTCCCCAGCGCCGATGGAAAGCCTCTCCCGCTCTTTGACGCGCCCCGTCCGCTATTTCAATTTTAACGTAGAACGTTTCGAAAATTTGAAAGTTCTCAACTCGAAAGTGCTCTGTGCGAACAAGGGCGAGTCCCTGACTCTGAAGCTCCAGCCGATCCGATCCATGTCAGCTTCGATCCGTGGCTAATCGTGCAGGATTGTTTGTGATGCAGGTACGGTGAGGACCGACCCAAGTACTTGGGCCCATTCTCCGGTGCCACCCCATCGTATTTGACCGGTGAGTTCCCCGGTGACTACGGTTGGGACACCGCCGGACTCTCGGCCGACCCCGAGACCTTCGCCAAGAACCGGGAGCTGGAGGTGATCCACGCCCGATGGGCCATGTTGGGAGCTTTGGGATGTGTCACCCCCGAGCTGCTGGCCAAGAACGGAGTGAAGTTCGGCGAGGCAGTATGGTTCAAGGCCGGATCGCAGATCTTCTCAGAGGGAGGTCTGGACTACCTCGGCAACTCTGGCCTCGTCCACGCGCAGAGCATTCTGGCAATCTGGGCCTGCCAGGTCGTGCTCATGGGAGCCATCGAGGGATACAGAGTAGCAGGAGGACCCTTGGGAGAAGTGAGCGACCCGATCTACCCCGGAGGCCAATTTGACCCCCTGAACTTGGCTGAGGACCCAGACACCTTCGCCGAGCTGAAGGTGAAGGAGCTGAAGAACGGAAGACTTGCGATGTTCTCCATGTTCGGATTCTTCGTCCAGGCCATCGTTACCGGAAAGGGACCCATCGAGAACTTGTCCGACCACTTGGCTGACCCGACTGTGAACAACGCCTGGGCCTACGCCACCAACTTCACCCCCGGAAATTAGATTGTGCTGTTGGGGATTATGTAACGGAGATTAGGAACGGTGTAAATTAGTTTTCAGTGTAAATTCTCTTGTGAACAGGTGACCGAAGTTGAATTTATATATCATACGATACTCAGCTTTCATCTCAATCTTGATGTCGCGCAGTCTGATTTGAATATCCGTTGTAGCCATGGTCGAGCAGTGTTCTGACTGTTCCCCCCGCGAGTGAGAGTTTCAATTTACAAGATGCAGAAATCCGGCTTTCATACGTGTATATTTTGAGTTGTCAGATTTAGTACTATTCATCTCGAGAGGCTTCAACTCGACCAGAGCCTGACGTCGAATATAAAACACAATTCTGACTATTATTCACTGTTGAAAACTTGAGGACAGTTAGGAAACAAGAAAATTTAATAGCAGACTACTTTGAAAACATCGATATATGCACTTTACTTATTTCCTCGTTGGAAAAAGTGAAAATAAAAGCCAGAAAATCACAATGAACTGACTGTGACACTTCAAAATAGAATATTGTAAACATGAACCATCGTTGTCTGATAAATGAAATGATCAAAATTAGCACATTGGGGGAAAGTTTGTCAAAGAAAGAATACATATACCTTCGCTAATGGATTTGTGTTGTTATCATGTGTAGAGGAAAAGTATACAACTCTCAATAATACACTCTCGGGAATTTACCGTGCAAAAAAGTTCGTGAACACATACGTTTGCTTTTTCTACCAACACTGAAATCATGGTTCAAATCCTGAAGAAGCCATCATGATAGAAAATCCTCATTCTTAAATCCTTAGCTTATATTCTGAACGGCTCATCCACCTCTTTCTGCCAGGACAGATCTACCTATGATGATGTTCTCTCTCAGATGACAAGAAACTTTTTACGTTCTCGGACATGCTAAATGAAGAGAATTGAACATGTGAATACGTATCGACGTAAATCATGAATTCGATTAGAAACTCCCTTCGCTCTCAAGTTCCAGCGAACAGCGGTAGTAGTCGGGAAAGTCGACCTACACTCACATCCACCACATTGCGAGCATATTCTCAAGGAGCCTATTACGGCCACAGAATAGTACAGTAGTGCGTCCAGTGAGTCCTTACAACCATTCCGTACACACGAACTACGATTGGCCAGCGTAATCATGGCGCCACCATGCTCGACGTTCTGTTTTACGAGAACAGTACCGACAGCATTATTGCTAAATTTGTGAAAAGCGCTGGCATTGGTTTGGATGGGCTCGAGCAGGAAATCTGAGCAACCTATCGTGAGTCAAAGCTATGTTCCGGACATGGAGTACATTTTGAATCTGATCATGACGGGGCTCGTAACTCAGGGTCAAATGCTCGAGGAAGTATAAAAATATAGTGTACAAGCATGTTACGGGTAATCTGGTGGTCCCATGATATCATCCACGCGAGCGATGCCATTGGCGCTTTCAATCTCATGAGGGCGGGGAGATCATCCTAGTGTGCCAAGTAAGCGCGTAGACCTTGCTTCCCTCTCGTTCTATATGTAGACCACTTCTCGACCCAAATCCTGTCACACATTCATTCAGCCGAATTGCCCGCTCCTGCATTGAGACTCTCGAACTCATCCTTGCAAAATGGCAGCTGTCACTGCATGTGCTTCCACCAGCTTGGCCGGCCAGGCCCTCGGAGCCTCCAGCAATGCGCTCGCAGGCAAGGTTAACGTTGGAGAGGCGCGCGTCGTCATGCGCAAGGGCAGCGCCCCCTCGAGCATCTGGTAAGCGTTCTCACTCCCACGCCCGAGAATTCCGCGCGCAACGATCACGCCCATTGCGAACTTTGCATTTTCGCTAATTTTCGGCGGAATTTCGTGCGGTGCCCCGATTTTCTCGTCGAAGTTCAACATCCCCGAGTCGCATGTTTGAGTCTGAGACCGTCGTGACTTCTGCAGGTACGGTGAGGACCGACCCAAGTACTTGGGCCCATTCTCCGGTGCCACCCCATCGTACTTGACCGGTGAGTTCCCCGGTGACTACGGTTGGGACACTGCCGGACTCTCTGCTGACCCCGAGACCTTCGCCAAGAACCGGGAGCTGGAGGTGATCCACTCCCGATGGGCCATGTTGGGAGCTTTGGGATGTGTGACCCCCGAGCTGCTGTCGAAGAACGGAGTGAAGTTCGGCGAGGCAGTATGGTTCAAGGCCGGATCCCAGATCTTCGCTGAGGGAGGTTTGGACTACCTCGGCAACTCGAGCCTCATCCACGCGCAGAGCATTCTGGCCATCTGGGCCTGCCAGGTCGTGCTCATGGGAGCCATCGAGGGATACAGAGTGGCAGGAGGACCCTTGGGTGATGTTGTCGACCCAATCTACCCCGGAGGCTCATTCGACCCCCTGAACTTGGCTGAGGACCCAGACACCTTCGCCGAGCTGAAGGTGAAGGAGCTGAAGAACGGAAGACTTGCCATGTTCTCCATGTTCGGATTCTTCGTTCAGGCTATTGTCACCGGCAAGGGCCCGATCGAGAACTTGTCCGACCACTTGGCTGACCCGACTGTGAACAACGCCTGGGCCTACGCCACCAACTTCACCCCCGGATCATAGACAATTAGCCGATACTTCAAGTTTTAGATGAGCACTCCCAGTGACTGTGAGTCCACCCCGGTGTGATCGAACCAATCATGTGAGCTTTCTCGTCAAGACTCCTCTTGTGAAATTATAAGACCTGTCTTCAGTTTTGTAATAGAATTGACAGATGATCGACGTTGTCTATCAAAGTTGTATCTATGAACAGAGCGGGCGTATGTACATGATGTACTTGTAATAAATATGTGTTACCTACATTCTGTGTACTTCGAGTTCTCAAATGTGATATTCTGTAGTTGCGGTCTGGATCGACAGTCGTTATTTATCGAGAAACTCGTCGAGAAAGATGGGTATCAATTCGAGAAAGTATAGTTACGATATAATTGAAAGTAGTCCCCATGTCTCTCTCGTAAACTGTTGAGTACTACCACTCAACATTTTATGACTGAACTGTGCATTCTTGCTCACATCTAGATTAAAAAAAAGACCTTTCCATACTGCGATTTCAGAAGGAGGAATGAAGACAGAAGTGAAAAGAAAAAACGAGCTATAAGTCACTTTCCAACAAGGCCACCTATATTTTCACCAACAATGTAGCTATATGGCCCCATCTGCGCAGGAAAAACAAAAAATAAGAAAATTTACGTGCAGTAATATGAAATGTCGTAATTTACAAAAAATACAAAATGAAAACAGCTACCTTCTGGCAGTAAAATAACTTAATCTCGTATGCACCAAAAGTGGGAAAACAGGAAAAAGAAGGCCAAGTGGAATAAACTCACTTAAATCATAATAAAACATCTGGACAGTGAGAGATATTTGTAACAGTTGGCTTGAACAACTGTAAAAGTATAATAGCCAGAAATGCAATACTCTCTACAGCCACAATTGAATGGTAATCAATCTTGTTAAATCTAAGATTGTCGCTATCCCTCACAGAAAAGGTTAACACTTACATACAAGTATTCTCTTCCATTGATGCATGGTAAAACATTCTTTACAGAATGGGTTCAAATCTTGAGGTACAGTACACTAACATCTCGAAATTTATAGACTCGGAGATGATACACATGGTAAAAAACTGATGACATTGTAAACTGTTGGTAAAAAGAAAATCCGTAACACAACTAAAGTTTCATACTCAGACAACATGAGCTGCTTTGGCAAAGACACGTAACATGTGGACGGTGCTGCGGCTGCCTGTGCCAAGCGGGACTAGGAGAAATGGGAGCTGGAGCTCTGAAAGGGAAAGTTGGGACAATGCTGAAGGCACACCCGCTTGAAGCGTGGAGTCTCTGACCTGGGCTCTTCCGCTGAAGCATGAAGGATTTGGAGAGATGATGTGGAAGTCACAGCGTGAGGCGGGTGGCCAAGCAGCAATAATTTCTCGGTCTGCGCAGCCAAGGAACAGCGTGCGTGTATGCTTGTGATCAGGATCATCCTATGCGAGCAGCTTCGTCCGACCTCTCTCCCAGTAAATCTGTTTTGGGTCCATTATAAAATACTAAGTCTTATCGACCTGCAGATCTGATGTGATGATTTTTTCTTGAGACTGGGCTTGGAGCATTGCTAATTGATGATGCTGGAGACTAAATTTACTTCTTGAGCAGAAGTTCTGTCGAGGCCATGTCGAGAAGCGGTTCCGAGTCTTTCCAGGAGATCAGATGACGCTCGGAAGATGATGTGATGAACATAGAGTGATACTAACCTCTCGAATTGCAGCTTCAATGCTGCCCTATGATCATCTCAAAACAGATCTCGTGAGATTTTACATAGGCCAAAGTTCACACTTATTGCACATGGCAGCGCTCTGCTCCTATCTGATCCATGGATTTATGGATGTGATCATGGGTGATTACTGGTTTCCTTCACGGCAACCTTGCGAGCAATAAATTAACCTTGATGGAATTATCACGACTTCGAACAGAGCAATAAATTAACCTTGATGGAATTATCACGACTTCGAACAGAGCTCACCTACATAGCGATACGAGTTCCGAATGCAATTTCTTTTTCTTCTCTCTCAAAAATCATGTATATTGTTTCCATCACAAAGACATTGAAAAGGAAGTCAATTTTAAACTATAAATCTTTCGGTTTCAGACTCCTTGCTCAGCTATTAATTTGTCCTGTTTCTGATCCACAAAAAGGCATCAACTATATAGATAGATCCAACTCTATGTCAGAATAAGAATATGCACAAGAACTTATGAACAGCTCTCTGAACATGGCTACATTGAACACTGGAAAATATTGAACACCGAACCAGAAATTATAAGGTCCATACCAGAAACTAAAAGGTTTCTTACATAGACAAAAACACATGTTTTTGCGTGGACATCCAGTATGTGGGCAGTGTTGCGGCTGTCTGTAACCCGAGCGGGATAAGGAGAGATGGAAGCTGGTGCTCCTTCAGAGGACCGCTGGGATCATGTCGAAGTTACTTCCACTTGGAGCGTGGAGTTTCTGATATGGACTCCCTCGCGGAAGCGAGAGGAGTCTGGGGAGTTGATGAGGAAGGCACAGCATTAGGCAGGTGACCGAGCAGCGAACCCTTTCCGCTCAGCGCAGTCAAGGGTCAGCGTACTGGAGTGCTTACCAGCTATCATCCAGCGTGTGCAGCTCCTGCGACCTCCCTCTTTCTTGCCACTTTGGGAGCGATTAGGAGTACCTTTAAACCTCCAACTTGTGCCAGAGTGTTATTGGATGTGTGGAGTCTAACAATTTGGGAGAAAATGTTATGGTCACCATATGAGGCAAAGTAAACATTTCAACATTTTGTTAGGGATCTTCTATGAGATCATAACCGAATGAAGTGTAGATTTATCAGCTGTTACGCTCCATTAGTCCCGAATTACGGTAGCTTGTTGTACTCAGTCATCATGTCCCTCATGTTAATGGCCCAGATTAATGCAGGAGCCTGCCATCCTCACACCAACCTTCAAATCCCCTGATTGAGAAAGCCGTGAGTCATCAGTGATCAGAAAGTTTGAAGCAATAGTAGCCATCATAGCGGCAAGTCAAACCAATAGGGAAACAATATTCATCACTTCACTGATGAGAGCAGAGGTATGAGGCTTCTATGGCACATGGAATCCGGCTTCTATTCGGATTAAACTGAACACTGCGCACGGGAAAGACCTGAAAATTTCATCGGCTACTAGACTGTAAATCAAACACTGAGAGATGAGGACTGACTTCGACTGATATCGATCTTCTGCTTCCACAAGGTAAACTGTCTTCGTCAGTAATCGCAGAACCAAGTGTAATACTTGCACTACACTAACTTACGGTGAGGGCGGTAAGCAGAAGACAGTGGGCAGATCAGAGTGTTACCTCCAATATATACTTCTACAAGAGCTCCAACCCTAGAAACCACAAGAACAACACGATGATCATTCCAGAATTAGGGCACAATCGCGGCGAGGTGACTGTCAAGACTCTCCTGTACAGTAAATGTATGCTCACGGATGAACCCGCAAAGAGCACCCAACGTTTTCATTCATCCCCAAGAGACCTAAAACTAGTCCTATACCATAAAACTAAAAAGAAATCCTCCTTTTTAAGAGGACGCGAGAAATTGTCAAGATTCGTCACGACTGTTGAAGTATTCTGTGCTGCGGGTTCAAGTCCTGCCTTGGCTGTAAATACTTTGGTGTCTGTTATGAGAATATAACCAAATATACTATGAATATTCATCAGATATGAAAGTCAAGTATTCCCAAATGATGGTGTCTTCTAATAGTAAGTCATCATGCCTCTTCATGTGTATTATCCAGTAGCTCAATGCGAGAGCCTTCCAAACATGGATCTGTGCTGCTAGTTTAAGACCTGCTTGGGTAGTCATATTTAGGGTGTATTTTATTACAACATAATTGAATATACTGTAGATTTGTGGACTTTTAGAATCCAGTGTTTCCAGAGGATGTTTACCTCCTTTAAACAGTCATCACGTCTCTTCAGATGAAGGGTCCACTAGCTCAAAGAAAGAACCTTCGAAGTCATGAATCTGTTCTGCGGGTTATGTCCTGCCTGGGCTGCAAAATTTATGGTGTCTGCTATGAAAACACAACCGAACAAGGTGCAGATTGATCAACAGACCCGGAGTATGGTATCTTGTGTTATTCAGTCATCATGTCTCTTCATGTGAACGCTCCAGTAGAGCTCAATTCGAGAGCCTTTCAAACATGGATGGTTCTGCATGTTCAAGTCCTGCCTCGGCTCGAAGAGCGGATCATTTATGAGAACATGACCGAAAACAGAGTAAATGCATGGACTGTAAAAGTCCATTAGTCCTGGAGTGTGATAGATACTTGTATGTATTCATCACCTTCTACCTACCTTACAGATGGCCATGTAGCTTATTGAGCATTGTTGTTGGACTATAATATCTACTTGGATCAGACAAACCTACTAGACGGCCAATGTGAACGATCTCTTATATTTTGATGCGGATGAACAAGAATTTACTTCAAACAGTGTTTTACCTCATCGAAGGAAATTGTAAACAGTAAATATTTTGTGAGATATTCCATTTTTGGGAAACACTTGTTTGGACAGTTGCAGCAGAAGGTGATATATTCTTATTATAACTTTAAGAAAAAAAATTATCTGTGAATATTTTTTATAGAACTCGTACTTATTTCAACACAGTATAACGCTCAGAAATGAATGCGTTGTAATCAATCCTCTCTAATCTCAAGAAAATCGAGAGAAATCAACTTTCTGAGAACAATGATCAGGAAACATTGAAGATGATCGTTCCACTTTCCAGAACAACTTAGCCACCCGAATCTGGGTATAGCGAAGAATGACAGTAATGCTAGGAAACGAATGCGTTGTAATCAATCCTCTCTAATCTCAACAAAATCCAGAAAAATCAACCTTTTTACAACAATGATCAGGAAACATTGAAGATGATCGTTCCACTTTCCAGAACAACTTAGCCATCCGAATCTGGGTATTGCGTAGAATGACAGTAATGCTAAGAAGAAACATATATATTCCTGGTTTAACCAAGAGCATGTGATAGGAAACTAAACATCAAATAAAATGTAAATTTTATATGAAACTGTATATCACAAGTATACGAAGATCACATCTTGATTAAAAATTAAGATGAGGAAGCATTTCAAGTATGTTGGCACGTTGGACAAGAAAACGTTTAAAATTCCATCACAGCAGATTGCACATCATGACCGGCCTTAGGAGTACCCGAAAATATAAAATTTCATGCTCAGTGAATGAGACAGCCAAT